CACTCACCTCAAGGTTTGCGACCACGTCCAGTCGTCCAATCGATCCGGATCCGACCCAACCCAATTCACTTCATCTTCAAGCGCTCTACGGAGTAGAGTCTGCCTGTCATTCTTCCCATGCATCCACTAATACGGCATACTCAGCACCCATGATCCGCCGTCTATTCTGCTTCCGGATGCGTCACGTCCGTCTGCGCACTGCGTATTAGCGCTCACCTGTACCGACTACCGGCTTCCCGTGTCTGCATAGCACAACTCTCATCTCTCCTCCGCCAGGCTTCTCCCTTTCCGTCCACCGCTTCCGCCGAGATTTTATGGAAGTACATGGCCTATATCTGGTGGGTAACTGGGGAGAGAGAAGCACGAAAGGAAGAAAAGGCATGGATGAGTTGTTGCACAGCCCAGCCACTGCTATTGCTTGCTGACATCGACCCGGCCGATAATCGTGTGCTGGCAACGCTACACACTGACCGCAGGCAGATCTGAAGAGCAACCATGGCGGCTACTGGTTCACTCGGATGAGCTCCAGTCAGCATTCCTTCCTCGCAACCAGGCAAATCCCAACCTCGAGGCGAATACCTAAAGATACAAGACGATTCCTCTGGGCCGCCTCCCAGCCAGTGGCCCGGGATCAACCAAAACCAATTTGCTGCGTTACAGTATTGCCCTGTTACCTCCAATTGCTCTGAGGCTGAGCAGTTGGCGCGTTTATTACGGGAAGCAATCGTCGTCACCCTGGCCCATCCAATGCTCATTCTCCTGCGTCTTAACAGGGACTCGAAAGATGGGCCCGTTCCCGGCGCAGGTATCGCTTCTCGCCAGAAATTAGAGATGCTGGTTCTCACAACGACCCATACTTGGCTGCCAACTGCCCCCCGAAGGAGAAATTGGCCAAGAATGTGGCAGCCAGGGGGGAGCGCGCAGACGGCCCCCCAGAGGGGCAATTCAAGTCTTGTCTTGATGGCCGGCGGAGCACCAAAACTGATGCCTCATTTACGAGCCACCGATGCCATCCCGGGCTTACTGGCTCCGGTTCGCAGTGTGCTCCATATCCCATCTCATTTACACCTCAAATAGCAAGCGACGACACTCCATCGGCCAGGCCCCCAGTGATGGAAGTGGGAGGTCGACGGGTCTCAGGGTTGCATCGTACCCACGGCGCCCGGACGGATCGCGAATCTTTACGCCTGTTGCACTAGGGCCTGTTAGGCATGCGGGATTGAGATGCGCGCTCGGGCAAGCCTGCTAGTGCTCCTCACCTGAGCCAAGCTTTTTCCGTATGTCGTGTCAAGTTACAGAAAACAACTCGCCAGCCAAGCTCAATTCCTTCGCGTGGGACTCGTAGGAGACCACCACTACGACGGCGCAAGGCTGCGACATATCAATGGCATGGAAGAAGGGAAAAGTCACACACAAACACGCACCAAGATCCAACCGTTTGGTGCAAACATGAGGCTGAAGACCCATGGAGAAGAGACCCTCGAGGAGGCGATCCCGTCCCGATCGCACCGCTCGACCAAACCGTCCTAGCCACACAGGAATTGCATCTTGAAACAAATCTACAGCCGCTGCGGAGGCACGCAATCAGTCACTCAGTGCCCCTTTGGCACCTTCGGCAGGGACAACCTTCTTTACGCCTGACCTTGGCAACCTCTTCTGGGATCGCCTCTGCTCACAGATCTGTCCGTGTTCTTCTATTCCGATGGATGGAAGATAATGCCACAATGAACTACTCATTGCTCACCAGGGAACACCGACGTCGTCAACCTCGGCAGGTTTGGTCAACACATGGGGGTGTTCCCTGCGAGTGTCTCTCTGATTCCCAACCAACAGAGTCGTTAAACCCGGGCCGGCGAACATTAGGTATCCGTCCCATCAGTCAGCTAGCCTCGTTCCCTAGCCTCATCCTCTGCTCGTCACTGAGCACTGAGTGAGCAGTCAGCACATTGATCAGTCCAGCCATTTGAACTATGCAGTCAAGTCGCTGTCTATCTCCGTGTGAGGCTCCACTTGAGGGGGTTCGTTCCAAGGGGGCATATACTAGCAATCAGCGTACTAATACCGCATACATCTCAATTGGGATATAGACAGAAAGTGGAGGGATGTAGAGTCGGGCCTTCGGGGCTTGCGATATGTCCATTCGGAGGTAGGACGGGCGAGGGCGGGACTTGCAGGACTCACCAACCAGCCATCTGCAGGCTGCATTCACGGCGCAGACGGTGCCCATTTTGACGCCGAGGACGACGAGAGTGGGACGAGTGAGACTCTCGCGCGCCGTTCTCACAAGCGGACGCCGCCCTGCCGCCCTTCGGTGGCACAAGTAGAAAGTATTACCCCAAGAAAACGCGCCAAGCACCACACCACGAGCAGCTTGACAGATGGCCTTTCCTTCGGGGTCCGGGGGAGCGAAGGGCAGAGTGATTGTTAACAGCCATGGCTACTGAGGATTTTCTCTTTCAAGCCGCGTTTGTCGCACAGATTCTGCCTCGAGGATTCTGTGCAACTCAAAACCAGATGCGGAATCTGCTGAAGCCACCACCCAGATTTCGTACCTACGTCGACTGAAAGTGAGCCGGTCTCATCCAATCCAGCACCTCACTGAGAATCAGTCTTTTCCCGCAAGGAAACGGACGGAGGACAACGGATGGGAGGCGGAAGACAGGATGTGGCTTCGCGCTGGAATTCCCACGCCCCCTCCAATGCAAGCCCTTCCCAAACGTGCAAGCGGAGGCCAGACGGCTTACACGGGACGCAGGCTGATTTAACCTTCTGGGATGATCGCTTTGATCGCGGCCCAGGGTCCTGGAACAGGTTCAATGATGCACCTTTGACCCGGACCACCTTCTGTACAGATGGGTTCCCTGAGCAACTTTTGGTCCGATGACAAACTCGGCAAGTTTTCGAGTGCGCTCCAAGCGTCTGGGCAGCGTGGCCAAGGACTGGCTGCAGGCCATGACCTTTCCTGGCCATCGTGGATGTGTTGAGAAAAAGAGGGGGAACGAGGGACGAGAGCATGGCAAACGCCTACCTGTTCACGTCGCCCAGGAACTTCTAAACTAAGCAGTCATGCACCGCAACGATGACCCAGGACCACGATGGCCCCTATTCCGGAGTCATTTTTGACCCTTGAAACCGCACAAGAAAAAAGAAAAAAGAAAAAAAAAACTCGAGGGATGGATGCGGTCTCCAACAGTTCGCGCTGGGGATCGTCGGGGTCGTCCTCTTGGCCGCTCTTCGTGGACAGCCCGGGGTTGTGGACTGCTAAGCAGTCCGCTGCCCGCATTCCTGCGCGGTGATGAATGATCAAATCCGTTTTTGATGCACCTCCGAAATCCTTTTACTCCGTTATCCGTAGCTTCCGCCGTCGCAATCATCTCCGCCGCCGCGGTTGCCGAACTTCTGTTCGTCCGACACTAACCCGAGTCGAGTCATCGCCGGGCCTCGCATGCGCCGCACCCAAGGTAAGCTTTGGCAGAGAAAAGAAGCAACACAATGCAAACTGCCATAGCGACACATAGATGCCTGCTGGCAGGTGTCAGTCGTTGACATGCCCTTCAGTGATCTAACAAAAGCAAAAAGCAACGTCGCAATTGCCTTTAACAACTACTCAAGTGCGAGCGGCTCGGGACGCAAATCTCACTGCCATATTCATGGTAACGGTGGCTCAACGGGGATGACTCTGGTACTAAGGAGATAGGCATGAGAGTACTCCGTAAATAGGCTGCTTTTCTTTCTCGTCAAATTGATGCTTTGAATACAATTCCATACTCAGTCGAGAACGGCCACAGCCGTTTGTTCTCCCATCAGGGTGATGACATAAGGATTGATAAGATAAGGACATAGCTAAAGTGGTCCCCACTAAATGCTCCCCGAACCACGCCCGACGCGAAAAGCGTCACCCACCTCACGCGTCGGACTCCCAACTACAGCTGTTCAACCTCAGTGAATTATGTAACCAAACATTTTATCACGACTCTCTATTCAACCTGAAGAAAGGCACACTCGCCTTCAGCCCGTCTGGTTCTTGGTAGCCAGGCCAGGAATATTTGCGTGGTCAGGTTTGTGCACAAGGCTGTAGGCGCCTGCTCTTATCCGCCATGGCTCGCAAATCAGCCAACACCGCCCAAGCAGGTGCGAACACGAACCGCGATATCAGGAGTTTCTTCGGTACCAGCCGTGCAGCTACGAAGGCCGCACCTGCCGTTTCGTCTTCACAAGCTTCCCAAACTTCCGCATCCCAGTCCTCAGCAGCAACCCAGGAGCTCCTGCCCGCCCGCGCTCAAACGAAGTCGACCGTGAACAAAAGTCTCCCACCTAACAGAGCCCGTGACGAAAACACAATCCAGGTCGCCAAGTCGACTATTAGAGGCTCTGTCGGAAATGCCGGTCAACGGCCTGCCCTTACGGCATCCGACCTCAACACCTCCATGTCATCCTTATCTGAACTTCAAGACACCCCAATTCGTTCTCCAGCTATGCGGCGTGTCATTCGCCTAACGCCAATACGGCAAAGATCACAGCGGTCACGATCTGGCACACCGAAAGGAACCTCAACTCCCAAAATCCTACGGTCAGGTCGAAGTACCGGCTCACCGCGAAAGGTCCGCTTCTCCTCTTTACCATCGTCGACTCGGGTGTCTCCTGAGCCAGAGGAGCCCACGACACCACGACGGTTGCTGTTCGGTCAGAGTCCAGGGAAGAAGACAGCCAGCGAGAGCCCACGAGGGTCGCCTCCAGCCAGTGATCTGCCCGACCTACCCTCATTGCAGAGAGACAAGCTGCAGCGCACACCGAAGCGCGATGTATCAGGGAAGCCGAAAGTCGACGGATCTCCCAATAGCTTACCGTCACTACCAAGTTTACCCAGTTCCCCAGCCCTTCCGTCTTCTCCACCAGCTTCGAAGAAGCGCCCGACTCTCACGAGGGATGCAGTCATCAAAGGGTCCGATGACGAGGACGACGACGGTTCTTTGTCTGATGATTCCTTTCCGGATCTCGACATGCTTGGCCCCACCAAACCCAGGCTTGATGGAACACCAAAGGCCAAGAGACGGGCCAGATTGGTACACAAGTCACCTCTCACCATCCAGCCAAAGCACAAATTTGACTTCAAGACGCTGGATGCTCACTCGAGGAGACACGATGTGCTGTTCGAGAGCCCACGGCGACCAGCTGAGCCTGCACCCAAGGATGAGATCATGGCGGATGTCGAAGAAAGTCCTAGCAAAGCTCGCCAGAAGCTGATCGAGATTGCCGGTGTCAAGACGGAGGAAGATGCGGACAAGGCTCTCCGAGCGATGGAGCGAACTGATGCCGGTGCCTCGAGGACGAGATGGTACTTCTTCAAAAGGGATATCAGCGGCCTAGATGAACCTCCTTCGTTCCCGAAGAAGTTTGCCAAGGGTCCTTGGTCTTTTCTCGAGAAGGCTGGAACAAGAGACCGACACATCATGTCGGGAATGCCGAATAATCTTGCCGTCAATGTCAGGTTTCCGGACGAATTATATCTCTGGATCTTGGACATGGTAACTGTTGAGAGAGTCGGTGTTCTTCGGGAGGAATACAGCAAGATCGTCACTGCCAACGGCAAACAGGTCAAGCGCCTGATCACGCCTGAGCAGCTCGAAGAGTGCCTGAAAAGATTGGGCGCAGCGGACCACATCGGAGACGAGGTACTACGACCTGTACGAGAAAGTCGAGATATCTACGTCGACTACGAATGGGAACCTCTCCAGTCGTTTTTGAAATGGCTAACCTACGTGGCACATCATCTTAGCTACGCAACAGTTACGTATGCTGTCAAGATGCTCTTGCGCATGGCAGCTGACAAGGTGGTCCTCGAGAATGTGGACATTCTCACGCGCCATCAGGATGCCTTGGCAGCTCTGGTCGATACTGTCAGGGACAGTGCCTGGGACGAGTTTGTAAGTTTATCCCCTGATTGTGGGGTAAAAGCTATTGCTAACATGACTTGTCAAAGTGCGCCGAGATCTGCTCGTCTCTGTATCACGGATTTATCAAGACCTCACTACGGATGTTACCGCTCATCTGCATGCCTGTCACTTCGCGGAAGCTCCATGAGCTGCGTAGACGCCTAGCAGTTGCCTTCTTCCTCCGAGACGCTGCTCTGGCCAGCGAGCACCCCGATGATGTTATCAGCCTTCGCCTCGTCATTGCTCGGGTTAAAGACAGCGACTTCAAGATCAACAACAAGACCGAATATGTGAACCTGAAGGCGCTGGTCCAACTCCTTGACATGGCGGTGGACGACGGGGCCTTCGCGCATGATAACGAGGACTCGGATTACGAAAAGGAGTTCAACAATGACATTGACGATCTGGCGAAGCGTCTCAAGGCTATCTGGCGAGGCATCAATGACACTGGAGCTGCGAACCTGGCCCGTACAGAGGCCAAGAGCGTGCTCGAGTGGGTTGGAGAGCGTCTGACATACTCGGTCAGGACTAAACGCCCGCCGACACAGAGCATTTTTGGAGACCAAGGCCCCTCGTCGGCCAGGAAGAGGCGCCAACAAGACTTCATGCAAAGATTCGTGCACTCTCGGAAGAACAAGCCATCCGAGATGGACAGCAACATCGAGCCAGCTTCAAGCGAGGATGAGACTTTCGTTACGGCAATAGGTTAAGATGATAAACGAACTCGTAGTTGCAACGATAACTACCTAATACGCCAAGGGTTGGCCACCATCATACAGCATCTAAGATACACCACAGGAAGGAGTTTGAAACAGGGTGGGCGCCGGGGTAGTCCTTCATGCAGCGTTTAGTGTGTCCAGCCCCAAGGGAGATAAAGAGGGCTATACAGGGTTTTTGCAAGGAGCACTTATGGGAAAGGGGTGGTGGTTTAGTCAGTGAATCTTCGGTTGGGGTTCTTGCCAAACAGAGTCTCTCGGACGGCCGGCAGACCGGTCTCCTGAAGGAGGTGTAGACGCTCCTCGAATGTATTGTTGATTTCAATCTTGCCCTTTCCACCGATGACGAAAACACCTCCAGCGCTGCGTTATTTGTTAGAACCCATGATCTGTATCTTGCATGTTCTCCCTCGATGTATCGGGAGATATATTACGTACCTCTCTGCGGACAGGGGATCGGACTCGTCAAGCTTAGCCGAAGTGTCCTTGCTAGTCTCCTTCTTGTACTCCTTGGTAGCCTCCTCGATGGCCTTCTTGACGGCATCAAAGTCGGCTTTCCGCGCGCGGATGACGACCTCGGGCTCGGCGAGGGCGTAGAGGCCCTCGAGAATGAGGTTCTTGAGGGTAGCCTGGTACTTGCCCTTGTCTTTGGTGGCGTTGGCGAGCTTCTTGCGGGCGTTCTCAAAGATGTTGTCGAGGAGCTCCTGGCGGGCACCGAGGACCTTGAGCCGCGTCTTGTTGGAGACGGTGGAGCGGGTGATTTGCTGGGACATTTGGGCCTGCTTGAACTTCTTCTCGTACTGGCCGTCGATGGCGTCCGTCTCCTGGCGGACGAGCTTGGACTTTTCGATTGCGAACTCTTCGTTGGCCTTGATTTCGATCTCGCGGGCCTTTTCCATTGCTTCTTGCTTTATGAAGGCCGTCATCTTGCGGAGCTCCTGACCAACCTGTTTTTGGTGCACGCCATGTCTGATTAGCGGGCTGCGTCTCTCTTCATCTCTCTACCCTATCCCTCGTGGGTGTGCGTGTGCGTGTATCGGACGGAAGGCTCGGATTCAAGAGGCCCTCGATGTGAAAAGAGGTCGGGGGTAGCTTACTTGGTCGTCCGTCAACGGTTGGTGAGACATGATGGGCGGTTTTTGGGGGTTTTGCGTGAGCGACTTTTGTTGATTCAATTAGGTCTATCGGAGGCGAGAAGGACGACGGGCGATGATGAGATCGCGTGGGATGTAGAGAGGAGCTGGTGGGGAGCCCGTCGGGAGGAGGTTTCGCGATGGGGGGAGGGGGGAATCGGAATCGGATTGTGGTATTTGAATGGAAGCTGTTGTTTGACGACGCCTACTTACTACCTTACCTTGGGTGCTCTGAGCCGCGCAGCAAGCGCATCACTGGGCGTTCGGCCCCCCCAGCTTCAGGAACCACATAGCAGGTATCCATCCGTCCCGTCAGCCACAGATTGCTTGGGTGGGTGCGATACGGCGGCTGTGCCACACATGATCTGTGCGGATGCCACCCGCAGGCGCCGCTGGCACTTGTCCACTTCTCCAGCCACGTTTCCTTCTCAGGCTGCCCTGGGTGTGACATCACGGAGGCAGGCGAAGCCTATCAGTCCCTCCCAGGCCCGTCACCCCAAGGAAAAGAGCGATAAGATAATCCTGTCACGTCAGGTGACGATTGCCCGAGGAACAGCCGCATCACCCACCACAGTCATGCACCCAGCTGAGCTACCTCACCGCCTACCAAGACAACGCACTGCAAAGGCGCAAAGGGGCTAGACGCGGAGTACCTGAAATGAATAATGCAATGCAGGCGGCACCTGGAGAGGTGGAGAGAAAGACGGGAGTCCCTTGCTGTTTGGTTGCTGCGGGCGAGGTACCTACCTTGAGGGTTGCTGCTGCACTGTTATGCTTGACCGTACCTTGTGCTTGGTGACTTGGTTGCTTGGTGCAGTCGGCATCTCCCCCTTCCTGGTTCCGTCCTGGCCAGACCACCCCGACCCTCTTCTACACCGATGGGAACAGAGAGCGGCCATTGCGTCGGTGCATAGCGAACGTACGTCTGTCTGGTGTTTCGAGCTGAGCCATCATCTAACACCAGAGACCTGTTCACCGACTCCGGCCATGTGGAAACTCGGTATTTTATAACGCTGCATTGATCAGGTACACGCAACCAGCAATTTGTCGGAGAAGACGGCCGGCCTGAGATACGGAGTACCTTTTGAGGTTCCAACTTTATCGCTTCCATTTAGACGCGCATCCGAACTTGAAACCCATCCGCAAGCTCTCTCTTGGCGGCTATTGGAGGGAAAGCGACAGCAAAGTCACCATTTACCCAAGCGTGGCGAGACACAACCCGTCGGACAACTTTACCTAACCACATCATCTCCAATCCACAACGTCGAAGCAATTCACAGACGCCTTCTTTGCGTCGTCCCCCCTCCCGCCCCCTCCATCCTGTCGAAGCGTTCGATCCCCCTCCGTTCCGCCGTCGGAGTCGATTTCATCTGGTCCTCGTTGCGAAAAAGGAAGCTGCACATCCCACGAACGTGCCGCTAGGATACCGGTCGGGACAACACGGTTGCGCAGACGCATTTGAGAAAACAAGGGACGACGATAAATCGATGAGACTGACCGCCGCTGCTTCAACCTCTACCGCCGCCAGATGACCGACAGTTAGCTCCTTGCGCGTGCAATGGGGTCCCTCGGCGGCATCTCCCCTGGGGGGACAATCGCCGTACGCATCTGCCTCCCTTTGCGCCTCTGTCGCTGCATGAATGAGCGAAAAGCCGTCGCTAACCTTGTGATTTTCCCTTCGCGCAGATAGGAATCATCGTAGGTCTCTTGTCCACGAGCGTCCAGAGCCTGGGTCTCACCCTCCAACGAAAATCACACATCCTCGAAGACGAAAAGGGCCCGCACGAGATACGCCGGCCACCGTATCGGAGGGGGAAATGGCAGCTGGGGATGGGAATGTTCATCGCCGCAAACCTGCTCGGTAGCTCCGTCCAGATCTCGACACTTCCTCTCCCTGTACTCTCAACCCTTCAGGCCTCGGGCCTCGTCTTCAACTCGATATGCGCTACCCTTATACTTAACGAACCCTTCACGAGGTGGTCGCTATGGGGCACCTTACTCGTCTGCACCGGCGCCGTGCTGATCGCCATCTTTGGCGCCATTCCCGCGCCCGCACACAACCTACAGGAGCTGCTTGAGCTCCTCGGTCGGAAGCCTTTTGTGGTATGGATGATCATGCAGGCCTTCCTCGTCCTGTCAATAGCCATCAGTGTGGACTGCCTCGACCACTTCACGAGCCTGTCACTCAACTCGAGATTCCGCTTCGTCCGCGGCCTCGCCTATGGGGCCATAAGTGGTATCCTCTCGGCGCATTCGCTGCTGGTTGCCAAGTCGGCCGTCGAGCTGATCATTAAGACGATCGCGGACGGCAATAACCAATTTGTTCACTGGCAGGCGTGGGTCCTCGTGCTGGCGCTGGTCACCCTGGCCTTGAGTCAATTATATTACCTACACCGCGGTCTGAAGCTCGTCTCGACCTCGGTTTTATACCCCATGGTATTCTGTATCTACAACATCATTGCGATCCTGGACGGTTTGATATACTTCAAGCAGACGGACCAGATCAACCCCTTACGAGCATGTCTCATTGCGCTTGGGACAGTCATCCTACTTGCCGGTGTGTTGGCACTGTCGTGGCGTCTCAGCGACGAACAGCACACGCCGGGCGTTGGCCAGTCATCCTTGGCACCAGGACTTGGTCTCGTGGAGGACACGGAAGATGAAGAAGAGTCCCTCCTGGGCGGCGACGACCTTTACAGCCTCCACGAAGAAGATGACCCATTACCAGCTACAACCTACTCAACATTTAACGTGGCCAGCGGTGAGACAACGCCGCTGACACCCACACCCAAGCGGAAGAAGACGGGCAGGAGATGGCAAGAACGCGCCGAGATTTGGGGCGAGCTCGAAGACCGCGATACGTCCAGCCCGCCCATCTCGCGCCGGCGCTCCAGCACTGTGCCTGGCGAACTCAACGAGTCGACGTCCTTGTTACCGCACCGCCGCGGCGTAAGTAGCGGTAGCGGTAACCCTCTCTTTTCGTCCTCAGAAGCAGGACCCAGCTCCGAGTCCCTTTCGTCACGCCGGCCCGGCCCGGGCAGGAGGCGACGTAAGTCTACGGGATTTCCGGGTTTTACGGCCCGCCGTCGGCGCAAGAGTCAGAGCAGTAGTCAGCCCACCCTACAAGAGGCGTTGGGTGGCATCTGGAAACTCAAGTGGTGGCGGTCCGACAGGGGAGACGACGGCGCGAGCAATCCGCCGGGCAGCAGCGGGAGCGGCAGTGTATGGCCCGCATTCCGAGACGAGCCTCCGCCGCCGACGGGGCAAGGGGAAGGGCAGAGGGATATTGGTGGTAGTGGAGGCAATGACGTCCACGACGGGTCCCAGGATAGGGGGCGGGACCGCCGGCCGAATGATGATTCGCCTGTATGAGTATCGGAACACTTGTCACGTCATTATTCCCTTTTTAAACATCTTCTCCTTTTTTCTATCAAGAAACCCGTTACTTCTTATGTGAGCATAATAGCGTTTACTTAGACATGTGTCAATTGCCAGCAGTATGAGTTATGTCTGATCCTTGAGTGAGGTGCCTGTCTGATGTAGTTCATGAAAGCACGCGTTGTTAGCATGTGCCAGTCAGTGACCCCCTTAAGCATGGAGACAGTAGAAGGCTACTTTCAATGGTCGAACTTGACTTGGATCAAAGCGATTTCTCGTTGAGGTCAGCTGTCTACCACAGACGATTACTTGTTGCTTTCTTCTCTTTGTCCTTTACAGAGTTTAAACCCCTGTTCTAATCCTTACAAGAAATATGAGTAGGACAAAGAGAGTGATCGAGGAAAAAGACAGCTGTCACGTTTGAGGTGCACGGTTGAAGCAGGTGACGTTGAAAACTCTGCCTGTGTTTTGTGCTTCCTCCCT